TATCTCTAATTATAAATAAATTAATAATAATTAAATAATAATTTTATTATCGCTAACATTACAAAAACATAATAATAATAATAATAATAATAATAATAATAATAATAATAATAGCCATAATTTAGACTAAGATATTATAATGAATGGCTGGATTGTAAGAAATTAACTTGGACTAATTAGTATATAATTATTAGAAATAGAATTTTTGAAAAAATTCCCCACAAATTAATGGAATACAATATATTTTTTAAACAAGCTAGTAACAAATAAATTAAATATTGGGGATTTTTTTTAAAGGTCCCTAGTATTAAGATTTTATAGCATAAATGACACTCAATATTTTCATAATGTCTAAAATTCCTCAATATTGATCCAGAGAAAATTCGACCTAGAGAATTTCTCTAGACTTTCCAGAGAATTTCTTCAACCCAGAGAATTTCTCTAGACTTCCTAGAGAATTTCTCTCCAGAGAAATTCTGGAAATTTCTTTGCACTTCCTAGAGAAATTCTCTAGACCTTCCAGAGATTTTCTCTCCAGGGAATTTCTCTAGACTTCCCAAAGAATTTCTCTGTGTTTTTGACCAATTTTCTTTGGTTTGCTCATAATTTTTTCTATGTTTTTCTATCAAACCAGAGAAAATTGAACAACCACCATTTTCATTTTGACCAATTTTTCTCTGAACTGTAAGACATTCAGACAACAACAACCTAAAGAAAATTGAACAAACATCATTTTCATTTTGACCAATTGTCTCGGGACTGTAAGACATTCAAAACACCAAAAGCAATGGATATCACAACACAACACTTAACCAGACAAGTAAATTTCACCAACAATGGTATGAAGTTCATGGCTTGCTTCTTAATGATGATCATATCATAAATGTTACTCTAAAATGCTTGAAGCCCTCATAAAATCCAAAAAGTTTGAATTCTTTGGGAAGTCCAGAAATTCTTTGGATTCAAACTAGAGAAGATTCAAAGCATTCAATTTTCTCTGGTTTGAGCTCAGAGAAATTTCAATTTCTCTGGGTAATTTTCTCTGTTGTTGAATTTTTTCTAGTTTGAACTCAGAGAAATTTGAATTTTCTCTGATTTGAATCAGACAAATTGTTGATGTCTACAATTCAGTCAACATTTCAAGAGATTAAAATGCAAAAAAAGGGACTCCATAGATAGCTAGATTGAAGAAAAGCTTCAATTTTAAAAATTAAAATAGAAGATAATACAGGGAGAATGGAAGAGAAATTCTTTCCAGGCTTACATACCATTAGAATTTATGTGGCTTTGTATGGCTCTATCCAAAGAAAATTGTGTTAGAGAAAATTTGTGTAGCTTTGTGTGGCTCTATCCAGAGAAAATTGCGTAGAGAAAAATTGTGTTGCTTTGTATGGCTCAATCAGGAGAAAACTGTGTAGAGAAAATTTGTGTGGCTTTGTGTAGAGAAAATTTGTGTTGCTTTGTGTGGTTCTATTCAGAGAAAATTGTGTAGAGAAAATTTGTGTGGCTTTGTGTAGAGAAAATTTGTGTTGCTTTGTATGGTTCTATTCAGAGAAAATTGTGTAGAGAAAATTTGTGTGGCTTTGTGTGGCTTTATCCAGAGAAAATTGAACAACCACAATTTTCATTCTGACCAATTTTCTGTACACTGTAAGACATTTAGACAACAATAAACCAGAGAAAATTAAACAACCACCATTTTCATTTTGACCAATTTTCTCTAGACATTCAGACAACTACATATCAGAGAAAATTGAACAACCACCATTTTTATTTTAACCAATTTTCTCTGAACCGTAAGATAACAACAAACTAGAGAAAATTGATAAAATTTGGAGAGCTCTACAATTTTTGGTCTTAAAAATGGTGAAATAACAGATAAATAGCATTTGACTCCCTCCAAACGCAGTCTTATTATTGTATCAAAATCCATTACCAAATCAAACTCACTCTTGAATGATACAACAATAAGACTGCGTTTGGATTTATCCATTCAAGCCCTCTTCTATATCTTAATATGCACAAACACACAGACACATATATATCTACATATAGGCAAAAACCCTAATGTAGATAAGAAGAAGCGCCTTGTTGGTTTCATCATTGTTGCTCTTAATCTGGTCTTGTTTTTCGATCACAGCAATTATGGCGGACACTTCTAATCCACAACCACAACCATCATCAAAGACTTCTGTTTACATCGTCTACACTGAGAAGCCCCTCCATGATTATTATCAGGACCCCGAACCTTTCCACATCCGCACCCTCTCCACTGTCCTTGACAGGTTGCGCGCGCTCTCTCTCTCTCTCTCTCTCTCTCTCTCTCTCTCTCACAATTAGTACTATTTCGGTTCTCTCTCTCTCTCTTTGTCGGAGATTGAGTGTAATGACTGAAAGAGTCAAATTTCTCTGTGATATATGGGTTGTGATATATGGGTGTGGGGACGAGAGACCTTAGACATCATAAAATAATATTGTGGATCTATTACCTTACTAAAAATTGAAGAGAGACCTTAAGCTAATTTTCCCTTAAATATTTTATATAGATTAGTTGTGGAAGTGATGGTTTTCAAAAAAGAAAAATCTTTTTCAATATAATCTCAAATAATATTTAATTAATTGAAACAAAATCTCAATGTCATTGAATTAAAATAAAATAAAATAATTCTTTTTTAACCTCTACCAAATAATTATTTTACTATATTTTTCTTCTATCAAACAAATACTACCTTAAAATTAAAATAATAATAATAATAAATTTTAATTAAAAAATAAAAAAAAAAATGTGCACACTCGCCCGTGCCTTGTACGGGCCAACTGCCCTAGCATATATATTTTGCTTTTTTTTTGGCATGAAGTTGGTGTTGAAGCGCTACTGCACGTAGTAAATTCTGTTTTGAATTTTTAGGAAAACATCTGGTGCTAAAAATACTAACACTTTGCTTGATTCCATTTTTTTCAAAAATAATTTTTAAAAAATTTTACTTTTTTATTTTTCTTATTTCTTTGTTTTTACTATTTTTTTAATATTTTAAGTAATTTTTATTTTTATTTTTTAGACATACCTAACATAAATATACCTAGAAAGTAGAAAATTTATGACAAAAACTTTTTAAAAATTCACTAAATACAAAAAATATAAAAAAAATACGAAAATTCAGTACATTTTTTATATTTTTATGTATTTATTAATTTTTTAAAATATTTTTTAACAAATTTTTTACTTTTTAGATACATCTAAGTAAGGTGCATCTAAAAAAATATTAAAAAATAATGTTTAAAATTTTAAAAAATTTCACTAAAACAAAAACCACGAAAACCAAAAAACTCAGTTTTCAAAACTAATTCAAAAACTCAAACTTTTTAGTTTGTTGTTTTTGGTTGTTTGCACTCGAGCATGTTACTTATAAATTGATCCCTAAATTAAAAAAGTTGGGCCATTTAAAAAAAATTAACATTGTTTACTCTGACGTGTGTATCCCAGCTTGCTTGGTAAGGTTGAAGGAGCGGTATCAGGTAGTTCTATGTGGTTGGATAGGTGTCGCGGACCAATTAGTGTGTGATGATAGATTACTATTCGATGCATGAGTGGTTTGGGAGTATTGTGGCAGTGGGTAGTCATTATGGGTGATGTATATAGTGGATCGTTATGTTCGTGTTGTTCGGATTATCGCGTTATTGCTAGATTATTGTGTTCTATGAGCAGGAGATTCTATACGGAAGTGTGTGCGAGGTAGTGAAATATTTTTAAAACATTTTCTTTGTCTACTTTTTAGACACACCTAACATAAATACACCTAAAAAGTAAAAAAATTGTAAAAAAAAATCTTTTAAAAATTCACTCAATACCAAAAATACAAAAAAAATATAAGAATTCAGTACATTTTTTGTATTTCTATGTATTTATTAATTTTTTAAAATATTTTTTCACAATTTTTTGACCTTTTAGATACATATAACTAAGGTGCATCTAAAAAAGTAAAAAAAAAATGTTTAAAATTTAAAAAATATTCACTACAAACAAAAGAATACGGAAACCAAAAAATTCAGTTTTTCAAAAACTTAATTCAGAAAACTCAAACCAAACACACTAGTTAATTTTTAACATACATTATTAAAAAAAGTCAATAATTGTTAATTTTTAACAACAGTTTAAAAATTGTTACAAAAAATGTCACTAATTATAAGTTTTAGCGACGGTTTAAAAAAATCGTCACAAAAAAACATTAATTTTTAATTTTCAGCAACAATCTGAAAAATACATCACAATAAAGTCACTAATTGTAAATTTTAGTGACAATTTATAAAAATCGTGACAAAAAAGTTATTAATTATCAATTTTTAATGACGTGTAAAAAAAAATGTCATAAAAAATTATTTTTAATGATAATTGTATTAGAACTTATTTTCAGTAAGACCTGATAAAAATTAAATGTAACTATTAGGACCTATCAAAAAGTTATTTTATTTTATTTTTTTAATTTAGAAAATTGAGTCTTGTAAACTTTTTTTTTTGTTCTTTTCATTGTTATATTTCTTAGCCAAAAACAAGGAAAACTCTGGTGTCTCGTGCATGCTTCCTTAGGAGTGCACACCATATGTATCTTATCACAAATTGATATAATTTTATCACAAAAATTTATAACATCAACTATAAAATGCATAACATTACCACAAATTAACATAATAAAAAATATCGTAACTAAACTACAAAGTTCTATAAGATCAATCATAAAATTTTGAACATTTGATTACATTAATTTATGACAAAATTATGCAATAATTAATATTATGAAATTTTGTCATATAATTACATCAATTTGTGTACGCGCCCCATAGGCATTCCCCGAAAAGAAATAGATATCCTTTTTTTTGGTCCATACAATACCACACCACCATTGCCTGATTATTAACCATGGTTAGTTCATGATAATTGCTTTCAGTCCAAAAAAAAAAGACATTTCCCCGGGAAGTAAGTTAGAAATATTTTAGCCGTAAAATGACCCAAGAAAGGAGTTGATTATAACTTGAAACTATATACAATAGAGAACAGCTCCTTTAGGAACTTAATAAATAGTAAGTGATCAGGTAGTAGCTGCCTGAACTACAATGAATAGAACTTCGTTCATTCATTCTGTATACGGAACCATTGTTTTAAGCAAAAACAAAAACAAAACCAAAAACAATATCGCTACAGGTAAAGAATAGATTGATGCTTTAACTAAAACAGAAATTCAGTGTCAGATGCTTCAAGGACATTGTGGATGCCAATTGGGTTCACACCGGGCTTGAAAGCATTTCCTTCAATATACCTGTGACAACATATTATATTTAATCTTGACCTACTGTCGGATAATTGTGAGTGAAAAATAAAAAACAAAAAATCTCACATTTCTTTTAGGAAGGGGTGCTTGTAGAAAGCATCGGGAATTCTCCCAGTAAATTGATTGTGATCCAGGTACCTGCAGAAATTTCCAAGTTACACAAGCGCAAACATGCAAAACCCAGATATGTTTTGAGAGTTGAACAATACATTTTTTCTTTAATACCTCACACCATTTTTCAACCCATAGAAAGAAAGAAAGGAAGAAAATAAGGGGATGCAAAAAAAAAAAGGTCATACCATATTGATTTAAGATATATTCTTAGTGAACATCAAACATTGGTCTCAGATGTCAATGAACTAAAAAAACTAAAAGGATGAATTCAGAAGCAATGCACAGAGCAAGAATCAACTCAACTTTGGTGCGCTACTAATAAACTTGTTCAAATAGTTGTTCAGCAAACCCAATGCTATAGACGTTGAACAAATGGCAAACCTAAAGTAGAATGTTACAGGGGAAAATCTAGTGGTAACAATCTATTGACCACTTGAGTTGTGCTTGTCCTTTAGGGCTATATGTGACACTATTTCAATCATAAAATCAGGTCACCAAAGTTGTGGTGCAGGTTCCCACATGAAACTCCAAATTGCCAGATCAGTGTCTATTGCTATTGCTCTTAGAAGTAGGCAAATCCACCAGATCCATTTGGAAAATTAAATTTCCTAAAATAAACACATAATCCCCATAGAATGAACAGGAAAATTGAAAACAACTTACAGGTAAGTTAATTTGGGGATATGGGCAATTCCAGATGGTATTATTCCAGACATTTTGTTGTAGGATAAATGCCTGTAACCAACACAGCAATCAATTTGACAGTGTTAAGGGCAGTGACAACCAACAGAAATCCGGAAAGATGACAAGTGATAACACTCTTAACACAATTAGCATGAATGAAATGCTTACAGGATTTCCAGATTTATTAAGTTTGCCAGCTGCGCTGGGATTCCGCCCGTAAGGTAGTTATTATTCAGATAACTGCATATTAGATTTACAAAGCAATCAAAAAAGTTTTTATATTGCAAAATAGCATTTAAGCAGTTCAAAAGTCACTGAAAAAGACTTACAGGTTGCGAAGAGATGGAAAGCATCCCTCTATACGTATTAGTTCCCTTATAGTTCCCACCAAATGATTGTTACCAACATCCCTATAAAGAAAGACACAGTATTCCAGTCTGGAATAAGATACAAATGGCAAACTATACAAATATTGTAGAGAATAAAATTTGATACATTACAAATGTCTCAAATGTTGTAGAGTGCCCAATTCTGTAGGAATTCGCCCAATAAAACGATTTTCATGTAGATAGAGATAACGTAGCTCAGGAAGATTTGCTAGCTCTTTGGGGATTTCTCCTTTGAAATTATTGAAACTCAGGTATCTGAAGAAGTTTTAGTAAATCATTTGTTTATTACATAGAACAAATAATATGAGATTTTATCAACAAAATTAATAACCTTGAAAAATGTTGAAATACTCACAGATGTGTTAGACTCTTCAGTTCACCTATTTCAGGAGGAATGGCATCTTGCAGTTTATTCCACCTTAAATTACTGAGAAGGAACAAAGAAAAGAAAAATGCATAATCAGAAAAAATAGAAATGAGCATCACTTTAACAAGGTTTCCTCCTTTTTCCTTTTCTTTTTTTTATATGTATATTATTAAACAGTCTCTACAGGGTGTGACTGTATGACCTATTCAAATGTCTCTACAAAATCTAAAAGTTTTCCAAGAACTGATTAACCGTCCCAAAAACGAGCTACACAAAATAGACAAAATTTACTATTGATTCTCAAAACATTATTTGCCCTTAAAAGTTATTTTATTTATTATATTCACCTCAAACTAACCACATAAGAGCCAAAGGGATCAAACACCAAGCCATCATACTCACTCCCACCCAAACTCCGCACCAAGAGCAAAGAAGCTCCTCCACCTTTCTATGGAACACCCAAAAACTTCAAATATACAAAGGATTCATTCAACATCACAACTCCTGCACCACCTCATAATGGATGAGAAGATGACTCATTATTTCCTCGTCATGTTTCACAAGTAACAGCAACTTAACATGCAGTTGCCTCCTAATTAGATTATCAATAGTAAGGATCCTTCCATGCGATATGCACCAAACAAAAAAAGCCACTTTCACAAGGGCCTTTGTGTTCCACACCTCCTTCCAAGGAAATCCCATGACCCAAGAGGGTCTCATAATAAGATTTGACACTAAATTAACCGGAATTGGATATGGAATCACCTCCATCTCCAGTGTACATGGATATACACGAAGTCCAAGAAACCAAGGAAACAACTGAAAGCTTGCAACTCTAAGGTTTTGGCCAACAACAATTTCTCCCAACTAACATGTTTCTGGCCAACTCCCGTAGGGATTTGTTACTTCCATTATCTTCTTCTCTCTTCCCCAAATCCTCTCTAATTCCTCTAAGGTTGTAGATTATTCATTGTACATAAATGAAACCAAAAAAAATAAAATAAAAACAACAAGATTAGAAATCTCAGTGAAAGAGGAATGTTTTTTATTCCATGCTGGAAAAAAGGGAATTAGACTTTATTTCAATTGGGAAAGTAGATTGCACTTAGCACCACATAAAATAAAATTAAAATTAGCGTAGCATATATGGTGCAAAAATATGGGTGACAAAAAAGGACTAACATATATAGTGCTACCTTTGTTTTTTCTTTTCTTTTCTTTTTTTCCCCATTTAGTACGTTTTGATTGTTTGTACAATCTTAAATATATTATATTTTTTTAAACAAAAGCTTCAAAAAATCAAAAGCTTGAACCTTTCTTCTCAAGGGCCACCTCCGGACTTGTGTGGTGCAACTTTTTGTTAGTTGAAAGCTGACAATCAAAAAGCAAGCTAAAGGCATCCTTCCCCCAACTTCACGATATTCAGCTTTTTTCAGTTCATTTAAAGCTATTTTTGCCTCATAAACTATAAGTAGAAGTTGTACCAAACGTTCTAGAACATATTACCAAAATAAAAAAGAAACATAAGCAAACTTAATAAGCTGCACCAAACAGGGCTCTTGTCTTGCACTTTCACCTCCCAAAAGGTAAGCTCAACCACCAGTCTTGTAGGCCACAGGGAATCAAATTGGTACCTCAATCTCAACATTGATATCAGGCGTTCCAGTCCCTTGGGTTCTTTAGCTAACACAAAACAAGGATGGTAGCATCACCCGTCTTCCCAAATTCAGTGGAAAATCCCATAAAATTTACTTCTCTGTATATGATTGGAGGGGGTATTAAATTTAGTTCTCTTAATATGGTATCAAATTGGTTTCTTCCACTCTGCCCTCTATCAATTGCAACAAAACTCCATATATGCTGTGTGTGTGTGTGTGTCAGTGTGAAAAGCTAATCTAGTGTACTAAAAGCTTTGCAGCAAACTAAACTACACATTAGTAGCTAGTGACATTCTAATATGCATGTTGCATTTCAAGGACTACCAACCTATGTTACCAAAAACGCTAATACCCTAGCGAATTACGTATTGGTACACACATTCCAAAACATGGTATACTTCCGTTCCAAAACAGTAAATTTAGTGATCCAAGGCGATCCCAAAAGTTTTTTCCAATATATTCCCTTAAATGTCACTTTAGGAGAAAAAAAAAAAAAATTATTTAATGCCTAATAGTTAAAAGAAAATTATTCTAGAAGTACCTTAAATTCTTAAATGTAATATATACTAATCTCCCCTTATCGTACCACATTTTAGAGCATGTGGCGTATCACGTTCCTGTTTCCATTCCCCTTCCATGTACCGGAACGATCCACGTTTCAAGTAACATAGGTATCAATGTAGGTAATTGGTGTCAGAGCCTCTTAGATGCCACAAATCCATATCATCTTCAATGGTGAACCGTGGTTGTCCTATACATCAGTCCAAAACATGTTCACACCCATGCCATTGACATAGGGCCCACAACCCACAAAATCATCTGGAAAATCTCCATCTTCCTATCTTTACAGCAAAAACATGATTGGTTGCACCCAAACACAAATCAATCTAAAATCTAAAAGAGAGTGACACTTTTTTTTCCCCAAAAAATTGAGAGCAAGCAAAAGAGAGATGGCCCTCATGCTTATGGATCCATACATAGTAGGGAATGAAGACGATGGTTAAGAATACAGATAAAAAATTAGTTACTAATCTGAATAGGGCATCTCTTTTCCACTTAATTTGGGGAGAAGGCTAACATGACATATGATACAGTTCATTAGCATCCCCCTATAAGTATTACTTTTCTAGAAGGTCATAACGAAATGTTATGAAGACCTATCATAAGCACATAGTATTCATAATAGAGAGTAGGAATAACATAATGCACTTTGAGATTTAGCGAAACTCTAGCTCTGCTCTAGCTTACATCTAATAGCATAGCCACTGGCAAGTAGTTTTGATCTTGGAGATTAACAGCTTCAGTGAAATTGTTTTTAAATGAAAATGCCCATATACCAGACAAGCCTAATCTCCCAATGGCATTACCAACCTATTTAACAAACAAAATTACTTATTGACAAGCATGCTTTATTGAAACAATAACTAGGGGGAAAAGCCCTTCTAAACTAAAACCATACCCAAAAATAAACAACAAACATTACAAAACTCTAATCCTACAGCCATATACAACCTTTAACACTCTACAACTTTCAAAAAATTGTATACAAATGGTTTATAATTACATCTTTATCGTGACCCAACTATATAAAAATATCAAAATTTCCTTCAAGGACCCTTTGGAAGCAGGAAACTCCTATGAGGGCCTCATTCTTTCCCTTGCCCCCGCTCCCAACCTCTCCTTCAATAAGGCCCTTGCTCCCTTGGTCCCACCCTTGCCCCAGGCCCCACCCCAACCCTTGTTTGTACAATCTTAAACACCCCAACCCCCGCCCCCGCTCCGTGCAACTATGAATCCAACCCATATAATGTAGAATGCTCCACACAGGGAGGGAAGTTGGGGAATGTATTGATGAAACCGCCTCACACTACCAACACAAAGAATCACCAATAGAACAAGACAAGAAATAGTTTTGTCACAAAGTTTATTGTAAATTGTCACGAAGTCTTGTCCCTTGCATCTACCTCGTTGTGTGACATGGTAAAGAGATGACATCCTTTTACTAAATATTTACAATGTGAAATTGAACGAATGTGTAAATAACAATATTAATCAACTTATGACAATTTATGTAAATAAAAAAAGCGATGTTCAGGCCACCAATATAAATCAACCAAGAAACCATACAGTATTTTAAGACGCTTCAAACGCCCAATTTGAGGAGGAATTGGTCCAGTTAACTTGTTGTTGTGAAGATCCCTGCCACAAGAAAAAGATAATGTAAATTCAGACATTCAAAGAAAAAGAACATTTGAAGGTGTTAGAACAAAGGTCTAGTCATTATTTGCATTCCTAAAAAAGGGAAATGAAAGAGATCACATCTTTTCACTTCCATTATAGACCATAAATTTATAATCCATGATAATAACCATTCCAACTTAATATTTTCATAATTTACACTTAACTAGAAATTCGTTTACTAGACAAGGAAAAGCATAATATGAGTAACTTTTTGTATGCAATGTCACGCAAGTCAAACAAATTTGGTTAGAAACAATGCTATGGCACCCCTACTCTCTTTTTTCCCCCTTGTCCCCATTGTTGGGGTTATGCCCCTAGACCTACATATCAAGTATGAGGATTTCATTTAAAAAAAAAAAAAAAAACTATAAATCTAACTTTGCTATGAGTAAAAGTTGGCAATTCAAAAACTGTAATGTAGATTTTATTATTAGAAGAATGACTACATCTAACTCTTACAAGAAAATGAGAAAGTGCACAACAAACTATAGTAGGAAGACAGAGGGAGAAGAATCTGACAGCCTAGTAAGATCCAACAGATTGGTCACGGCAACAGGGAAAGGCCCCACGATTGACACTGCATAAACTTCCCTGCAAAAAGAAAAATGCGGTCAATATATGTATATGATGCTTGAATTCCATATCACCATCTTAAAGTGTTTCCTTAAAACTTGTTGCAAGTTGCAACCATGGTTGATAAGCCATGTCATCATCCAAGTTGTGTCTCACAATTCCTTTCATTTCACTTGCCCATTCATTCACACCATTTTAGTTCCATCCTATAAATAGTTGGGTGGCATATAGCATGTACAAAAAAATTGAACCACGCAGTGATAAAGAATTCTTTCCCTGTCCCAGTTTTGGTAGGCAAAGAATACTTTTCCACACAAGTAATCTTAACGGCATTGATACAAAGAATTCTTGTATCAATGAAGGTACAGAATTCTCCCCAAGTTTTGTGACAAAGAATTCTTGTATTTATACGGAATCATAACACAATCACAAAGAATCAGAGTCAATGAAGGTAATGCTTACAATTCTGTAACTACTCTATAATCACCCTGAGTTGAGCATGTGACTCCAGACCAAGGTGGTAAATCACCATCTCCACAAGGGTCATCTCCAACCCATGAATAGACCACCCTCCATCCCAAAGAAGCCTTAATTTCATTTAAAGCTTTCACTACAATCATAATGCCAAACACCAATTTAGACTCCATTCTCGTAGAAGTATTAAATATATGCATATCATGTATATCCAACCAAAGAGATTGTATTAAATGGATCATATAGCAATCTACAATTAAAAAATTACCAGAAAACAAGCAAAGATTCAGTCACAGCTGACTTAGTAGATTAAACAAGGAACAATCTCTGCCAATACTCAAGCTATTTTCGATTATCTAACTATAATTTACGAAAGTAGAGACTTTGAATTTGAGGTTCAATCTAATCAATTAAAAAAAATATAACACCAATTTAGACTCCATTCCCGTAGAAGTATTAAATATATGCATATCATGTATATCCAACCAAAGAGATTGTATTAAATGGATCATATAACAATCTACAATTAAAAAAATACCAGAAAACAAGCAAAGATTCAGTCACAGCTGACTTAGTAGATTAAACAAGGAACAATCTCTGCCAATACTCAAGCTATTTTCGATTATCTAACTATAATTTACGAAAGTAGAGACTTTGAATTTGAGGTTCAATCTAATCAATTAAAAAAAATATAAACACTTGAAAATCAGCTACAAACCACGACCTTCAAAACTTTTGGGCAAAATTGGCTCAATTATAATCACACGGAAGAGATAAACAACCCGATTGAATGAAAATGATTGACAATTTTTCAGCGAATATACAAAAACCGGAATAGAATGCATGGAAGTGAAGTGAAGAGAAGTGAAAAGGACCGTCTCTTTTGAGGGTTTTGCAGTGAACGACCACATTGAGGAGCATCGGCAAGAAGAGGATCACAGTAAACAGAGTAGATGGACGACGAATCGCCATTCCGTACACTGATCACTACTTTCTACAGTGTGTTCAGGTGCAGAATTATTTCCCTTCAAGCTTCGAATTCCGAAGGCCTATATTAGCATATGTGTATATAGATCCGAATAGTGTGTGTGTTAGAGAGAGAGAGAGAGAGAGAGAGAGAGCTAGGGACAAAGATCTCACGGTTTACAGAATAATCCTTCAGTACCCACGACGCGGAAACATTATCGTCGGTGGAAGCATTTTCTTTGATCATATTATTTATTTATTATTTTTTTTTTAACATTTTGAAAATTACATGTTTACTCTTCTAATTAATAATCTTATTTTACAAATTTTCTACTTATATAAAAAAATAACAATTCCTAATAGAAAATAGGTAAAATTACATTAAAAAAATAAAATAAAGAAAAAAAACAAAATAAAGTAAAAAAAGATAGAGGGTACTTACGTGTAGATCCTAATAAGTGGACTTATTGTCTAATAGGTCCTATGAAAAAAATTTGTCATAAAAAAACGTCACTAATTATAAGTCTTAACGACAATTTATAAAAATCATGACAAAAAAAGTCACTAATTGTCAATTTTTGGCGACGTATGTAAAAAATTATCACAAAAAAATTATTTTTAGCGACAATTTTACCAAAACTTATTTTTAATAAAACTTGATGGAAATTAAGTCTAACTATTATGATCTATTGGTAGTTTACCCAAAAGATAGAGTGTATGAGTTCAATATTTTCATTTCGTCTAAATAATTACAATGACAAGGAGTTAGTGTAATTTTCCAAACATCAGAAAATGATATATATTAAATCCAAATCTTTAGAAGGTGTAAGTGTAATTTAACCTTTTATTTTATTTTTTTGAAAAATGATATAACTCATTGTACCAATGATATGACTAGTTAATGATTAAAGAAGATACGAAAGATAGTGTTACTTTTAATATTTTAATTGATTGTCACATCATTAGATTTGAAAATTAGATCTAATTTTTTTTTTTTTTATCTTGAATAGTAATGCTCTATTTTTTTGGTTGTATTTATTGTATTTGGATTATAAATTTAAACAGAATTTGTAAATTAAAAGAAAGATTATTCATATGGAGACTCTCTAAACTACTAAAAAATATCACTTTGACCCTCTGAACTATAAAAGCGTAAACTAGATCCTCTAAACTATTGAAATGTATCGCTATACTTCTTAAATTATAAAAGTATATAAATAGACCCATAAACTATTGATGTGTTTCATTTTGACATTTTCTATTAGGGGGTCTAATTGGTTCGTTTTTATAGTTTAAGAATTAAAGTGATACTTCTCAATAGTGTAAGGGATATATTTAACGCTTTCATAGTTTAGAAAGTCAAATTGATATTTTGCAATAGTTCAGGAGTTCCATGTAAATAATCCTTAAAAGAAACAAAAGTGTGTAAAGGTTAAGGTATTTCATTCACATTTCACTTAGAGGGTGTTTGGAAGTACCTATTTTAATTGGCTTTTTGACTTTTCTCCCTATTACACCACTAATCTTCATCTATCCTATCTCTCAAGTGAGTCAATCCATGTGTTTCGACCCTTGGCTCAATGAAAATGAGTGTTAGGGGTTCTTTCATGGGATTGCTTGAGTGATCCATGGGATTTGGCGATGACAATTGTTGTTCTTTTCCTTTTAATCAAGCATTTTGGAAGTAAAACAAGAGATTTTGGGACAAAAGAAGTTGAAACCTCCCTTCTCAATCATTTGTGAACATAGAAAGAGGTGTGGTCATCCTTGTACTATGACTAGATGAGAGGTTTTCAATGAATTTGATGAATCTCTTGCTTTGTTAAGCCAAGCTTCCACTCAAAAATGATTTGCATTAATCTACGCTCTTCACTTAATAGCATGAATTTGGGTATTAACTTGCCAACATTCACAAAGATAAGATGTAGGTTCCTATCTATTTCTTGGGCTTGAATTTGTTTTGATTTTAATCCATTTAATTTGTTTTTTATACAAAATATTTGTTGTATATATTTGTTTACGTTGTTGTTGAGGGCTTTGGCCCATCCATCTCCTTTCCGGATGATCCTTGTCAACAAAAGGAGTGACAGATGTGAGAACCACCCAGAAAGCCCCACCTGGCCACTGTCCTGAGATTCTGCACTAACCTAATCCCCAGCTAGAAAAGGAATTTGGCCGGCTCATTTCTGCTTCGGCAAGCTTATCTAGTGTCTGGCCAGTCATTTTTTCAAAAACAGAATAGATAGTTTATGGGGAATGCTCTGCTGAACAGTATTGAAGCCCTTTGGTTGATTTTTTTCATTATTTAGTGTGATTTATTAGGTTCAGTAGTAGTTAGGCTGAATCGATTCACTACTGTAATAATTTCTTTTCCTCCCCTTTTTCCTATTCAAATTGTTGTAATAATCTTTCAACCCCACGTCTTTCTAACCATTTTATTTATCTACTTTCGGTATTGCATCATGTTTTTCTTTATCATGCCAGTATATTGCATCCACTTTTCTATGTATTTGAGTCTGGACCATCCACTTTAATATGATGTGTTATCTTCAAAGATGAATACATGTGCAAATCCATACATTGTTGTGATACTCATACTACATCTCAGCAATCTGGATTCCTAGGGACATGGTCTATATCTATTGCATTGGGAACTTGTATATAGGATCATGCATATACCTATCTACATATATCATGACTCACCCTGAAGTACTAGGTGTATATTTCAAGCTTTAGCATATTGTATGTATGTGTTCCTTACCATATATGTTTCTATAACATGAGACTAAGTTCTTAAGTGAGATATTTGTTTGAATGCCAGTAGATAGAGGTTGTGTTAATCTTTTTGGGGTGTAGATAATTCTTATGCTGCGGATTTTACCCAAGAAAACCCCTTTTCACAAGTGCATGAAATAAGAGCATAACCAAAATTTACCACACAATCTATATTTGAATGTTTTAGATAGTAATGACACAGTTATTACTAGTGACACAGTTATTACTAGTGATACAATCTAAATTTATGGCACAATCTCATTTTTTGTTTCACATTGTACTAGTGAGACTAGATCAGCAGATTGAGAGTCTGAATTGTTGGGTGCGCTTGGTAACCCTAAAAAGGTGATCCCACACCTTTCTTCCAGTCTTTCCCAGTCCTAAACCCGAGATATCTCAAGTACATGATGTCTTCATCTACCATGATAGTTTGGACTAACCGAGCCTCAGCTAAAGTGAATCCAGAAAAAAAAAAAAAAAAACTTATTATTCTTCATGATCTATCTCCAATACTGGAGTTTTCACCTCGGGTGGAGGATAGATAAATGAATTCCCAAAGACAGTGGCGACCCCTCCAGCATGCGAGTATTTGACCAGTTGATGCATTGCGGAAGAAACGAGTTTCATTTGATGTAACCAAGGCCTGCCCAATAACAAATTGAAAGTCGCTGGCACATCCATGGCTTGGAACTCAGTTTCGTGCTCAAATCGTCCTGCCAAAATATGTATTTTAATAGTGCCCATAACCTTCGGGCTGGTGTTATGATATGCTCAGATCAGCCAATTTGTTGGTGCAGAGTCTGCTAGCGTCAACCGTATTGCATAAACAGTATGCGAAGGGCAAACATTTATAGCTGACCCAGTGTCAATTAGAACTACAGGGATCCACTTTTTTGGGCATTCCAGAGACATATACAAGGGTTTGTTGTGCTCTGATCCTTTTAGAGGGAGTTTCTTATCCAAGAAATCATAGATGGAATGGGCCTAGTTGGCCTAATCAATGGCACTAGCTAGTTTGGTGTAGTATTAATGGACAACTTAGCTTTGCTTAACACTGTGAGCATAGCCTGTCGGTGTTCTTGTGATGCCATAAGCAATTCCCTAATTGAGATGTTGGCTTGGATCTTCTTCAACTGTTTAGGGACCAGATCTTCCTTTTCTTTTTCTTTCCCTTTCTCTACATCCTTTCCTAATGGCTCGCCTTGATCTAGGTGTGAGGGGTTAAAGAAACGCCCGTTTCTAGTTAGATGATTAATCTCTTTAGTGTACCAAGTGTCGTCTGGCGCATTGCTTCCCCAACCTTCATCGGTGTGGGTGAAGTATAGATCATTGTCTTCCCACCATTACCCTTCATTTATAGATAGGCAATCATCCAGCTCTACATGTATCATTCTTACATTGCAATCATCTCCTTTTGGCTAGTAATGTGATGTTGATTGGATTTTTGCAAAAATCTCTTTCATTCTCGAATGTATCCATGCTCGATTTACTCTCATGTTTTGTCTTCCTCCATTGGACTAGTTAGCCCAGTGTTCTTGGATACGGGGACTACCCTCTCAACTTCTCCTCCTGGAACTTCTCTTTTCGTCTTCTCTATTTTGGACTCTTCTGGCTTATTACTTGCTCTAGTTTTACTGATTGCACTTTCCTTTTCCTTGCTCTTTAGTGGCTTGTGTTAGTTTCCTTGTTTCCTCATCACTTCCTCCGGTTTCTGAATCTTCCTCACTACTTGGCCATCCATGGACATTGGCCAAATTGTTTGGGTTCCACCATTCAATTTGTACATCTTCCAGGCTCTATTCTTCGAAGAAATGAAGGTTATCCAAGTTTTCTTCCAAATCGGCTAAGTCATCTAGCCCTTGTTCAAGTACATCCTTCCTAATGACATTAATGGAAAAGGCACCAGGTAAAACAACCTTTAGTTTTGGATAAACAACTGATATTATGTATCTGCTGGGATCATACCTTGACAAATTCTCAATTTTTATTACTGGCACCTCTGTTGCCATCATAGGATTTTTGGGTTCTGACTGAGATTAAGGTGCATCCATCATGCATAGATTAGCACCATCATGAATGTAAACTTCAGGTTTGGGTAAGTGAAAAGAGGTGATGTATATGTTGGGGT